AGTAATGATGCTGAAAATTCAGCTTTACCATCACAGGAATAAATTCCATTCTAAAATACATTCAAATAGAAAATGATCTTAATATTTCACAACATTATTGTTTTTACTGTACATTTCTCAAATAAATGCAGTCTTGGTGAGCATAATAGACTTCTTTCAAAAACATAAGAAAATCCTACCAACCCCAAATTTTTGAACACTAGTGTATGTATGTCTTCATCTTACCGCAGGGGGAACTCCACGATGGTATCCAGTTTCTCTCGAGAGTATTTTGTGTAGGAGAAACGCTTTAAATGGATGATAAGAACCTCCGGCAAAGACCACAGATCCAATATCTTAGTGGCAAGCTGATGCTTTTTACATGTCGGACAATACCTACAGACCACATAAACAAACACAAAGTTACATGTGCAGAGGAAGCAATCCTGTTCTTTAAATACATCTCTAGAAAACAAATGCTTTTGGCTTTAAATTATGCAACTAAGAACACAAAATGTTCCTCTTTCTTCATGCTCATAAAGGATAGATTGGAATAAAAGGCTAGAATCTGTGACAGAACCAAGTAGTAGATTACCAGGGGTTTTCCTCTTCCAGTGTCTCTACCGTGGTAAAGAGCTCTATACATTCCTGCAGCTGCACTGTGGTTTGCTGGTGAGGGACGTCCATGCTCTGATGCTTTATATATTTCTGCATAAACACACAAAAAAAAACATATGTTTGCAACAGAAATGCTGCAGTTTGCATAGCTCGAAACAGCCAAGACTGAAACAAATGGATTTTGATATTTCATTAATTAAAGGATCAAATTAATACTGCATTTAAGCATCATTTGCATATTAAAAAGCTTTAAAAAGCACTGTGAGAGCGGACCAGTGGTTCCTGACTGGTGAGGTACAAACCTTGTCTGACTCACGTCACGGACATTCAAGAAAAACAATGATAAATGCTAATTTGAAAAAATGTAACTAATGCATATTTAGGATAGTACAATAAATAGAATATTAACTAGCTTACGAAGGGAATTTTTATTTTATTTTAATGATGTTTACATTTATGTACATAAACTTTGGTGCTGTGCTGGGATGAGAACCACTGTTTTTGATCAATTAAATAAATAAGAGAAAAGCGAGGCAATGCAGTGCTGGTTTAAAACACTTTATATTCAGTAATATTATTTATTTGACTGCACTGACACTTTTGGATGAGAACAAAACTTGAAAAGAACTGAGCTGAATAAATACAACATTGTCTTCTGTATGACTGCTTTTTAGCTGATTTGAATTTGTTTCATAATTGCTGAATTTTGCAACATTAATACTGTTACTGAACTAAGTTAATAATTGAACTGGCTTAAGCGAAATAACGACAGTATTCAGCTCTATTTTGTAGAGCTGCTTATAGCTGAATTGAACTTGCTTCAGAAATTGAGCAACTTTACACCGTTATTGAACTGAATCAACATGAACTGACTTTAGTTGAATAATCTTTTTAGAGCTACTTTACAGCAGAACTTGCATATCACCAATTCTGTTATTTTCCTGTTCATTACTGTGAAGTTGCTTTGAAACTATCTGTATTGTATAAAGCTCTATATAAGTGAAGGTGACCTGACTTATCACTGCATTAGGAGCAATACAAATGAAAGTGAAAGTGAGTCAAGTATGGTGTCCCATACTCGGAATTTGTGCTCTGCATTTAACCCATTCAAGTAAACACACACAGCAGTGAGTAGTGAACACACACACACACACACACACACACACACACACACACACACACACACACACCGTGAACACACACCCGGAGCAGTGGGCAGCCATTTTTGCTGCAGCGCCTGGGGATCAGTTGGGGATTCGGTTCCTTGCTCAAGGGTCTCACCTCAGTCGTGATATTGAGGGTGGAAGAGAGCGCTTGTAGATTCACTCCCCCTAGACTTGAACCCTTGACCTTTGAGTTACAAGTCCGACTCTCTAACCTTTAGGCCACGACTGCCCTCTAAGAGTATAACACTAAACCTCTAATGGAATAGACTGGATTGATCTTTGTATGAGAGATTACATTCACTTCCTAGTAAAAGAACAGACGCAAAGTATTTCTTAAGGATCAAAGCATTCATTAGTAATCCTACCTCGGCTTCATTCTCATTGTAGTACTTCTTCTTCATGTCAGGGTCCCAGTCGATGGCGATATATGGCTGAGCTAAACAGAAACAGTGAGTCACGCCATTAGGAGCAGGAACATTTGCGCTTATGAACGCAACGAGTTAAAAGATACCATGACTATGAAAAGATGTGAATTGAGCAGCCGGAAAGATAAAAGACATGCAATCTCACTTTGTTATGACCCTCGCTTGTCCGCACATGACCCTGAAGTTGTACAAAAGCATCAGATGTGTAGAGAAGTCTGTAATAAATTGAGTTTCTCATTAGAGTGCACTTACAGCTGAAAGAGAAGCTGCCATCCGCCTCTCCCATCCCTCGCTCCGTGGTACCATTAGAGTTGACCGCCTGCATGGTAAAGAGGGCTTTTTTCCGCCTCTCGGTGTAGTGCCGTCTTCCCGGAAGCCTCTTATTTGCCTGCGCGCAAGATGCAGGCTCCTCTTCGTCCTCTTCCTCTTTTCCCGAAGGTTCCGCGCCAGCACTTTGGTCCCCGTCAGTGGCGTCTTGGGAGTTGGTGTCAGTGCTGCCGCATGCTGATTGGCCCTCCTCCGTACTGCTGCCCCGGTCCGGTTCGCTGCTCGACTCCTCCTCCTCAGCTCTCTCCTCCCCCTCGCTGCTCGGGCTGGCTTCTGATTGACAGTTGTTCTGCTCTTCGTTCTGACTGCTTTCTTGAGTCTCTTCCTCTTTCTTGGATGGCCCCGCCTCCTCAGAGTCTTCCTCACCTTCATCTATTCAGAAATTAATAATTATTGGTACACTAAATGCTTGGGGTCATTTATCAATTTTGAAAGAAGTCTCTTATAGTAATATAGTGAAATATTATGTCAATTTAAAATAACTATGTTCCATTTAAATATATATGTTAAAATGTAATTTATTCCTGTGATGCAAAGCTGTTATTACTCCAGTCTTTAGTGTCACATCACATGATCCGTCAGAAATTATTCTAATATGCTGATTTGCTGCTCAAGAAATATTTCTTAAGAAACATTAAAACAGTTGTGCTGCTTAATATTTTTGTGGAAACTGTGACATTTTTATCAAGATTATTTGATGAATAAAACGTTCAAAAGACCAGCATTTATTTGAAATAGGAATCTTCTGTAACATTACTTCACAGTCACTTTTAATGGATTTAATGCATCCTTGCAGAATAAAAAACAAAGTCATACCATCACTAACTCCATTGGTCTGTGCCTTGTACAACTCTTCCTCATCTTCTTCTTCCTCCTCTACTTCTTCTGAAGGGTCTAGTGGACGGACATATCGCCTATGCAGGGACACAATCATGACACATATGAATGGCAACCCAACTTTGGCCTTTAAAAACCAGATCACAACAAAATGCACTCAAAAACCAGTGATACTGAAATAAACAAGCACAATAACACCATAAGAGCACAGAAGATACAAGAAGCAATTAGTTACGAGATGCATTTATACAAAGAAACTTATAATTGAATGCATCTACTGGCAGTAAAATATGTACAAAAATATTTTAATGGACAACAATCAATACGATGCAGTTAAAAAAAATAACATATTAAAGGAAAAATACAAAGCATCTGTATAATTAAAAAAAAATTAGATTCCAGGACTAATGACAGATCTGGTAACATTTTTATAATCTTATTAATATTAATGTTTATGTTTTATTGTAGAAATAATGTTTATCATGGTCACTGTATGCGTTTTCCTTCTATAACAAAAACACATAATAAATGTACAGCAACGATCCCGATATTTAATCAAAACTAGCTTGTGACCAAACGAACATGACCGGCTAGACTTACGCCAGTCTTTTCAGGAGGAGCTGGTAAAGAGCTTCCCTTGTGCACTGGGCGCGTGGCATAGACATCAGCAGCGGGTGACCGAACAGGGAGGTGCCGTAACTGTTGCTGCCCGAGCCGTAATCTCTGTAATGGGAGCGTTCACGCATGTAGATGGCCATAACCACCTCCTCACCATCCTGATCCACACAACCACTGCTCAGCTGATACCTGCGTCAAAACACCACAAAACATATTTAGACCCAGCCAACTTTCTGGAGAATGAGATGCATCTTTGATGCATATTATTTTAGTTTTATTTCCTTAAAAGGGGAACTTAATGCATTATGAATTATATTTTGAAATAAACTGCATTATATGAATTGAAATAAAAACGCTAAGTTGAAAGATTTGGAAAAGTCAGACACTAACAACAACAACTGTAAAAAAAGAATATGTATATATAATTTAAAATAAATATATAATTATATTATATTATGAAAAAAAAAAAATATATATATATAATATATATATATATTATCCAGCTGTATTTACTCAGTGCTACTTTTATATATATATATATATATATATATATATATTTCATGATTTCTCATGGACAATATTGTCAGGTAATTGGAAATGAATGAACCTGGCTTAATAAACACTGTATATCTGTAATAACACTGTATATGTGTTGGCGTGTATGTACAATTAAAGCTGTTTACTCAGATTAGTTCTATCTTACACAAATATATCGTCCCGGTCCAATATACAGCTTAAGAATTCATCAGTTTGGTAAATCCTGTAGAAGCGGTGATTGAAAACATCAGCCACAGCCATCTGTGAAGAGCAGACCAATTATGAGCTCAGAACAAAAACTTTAAATGGGTTTGGATTCTTGACGACATGGATACAGGGTCATATCATTAATCAAACCAAGATTATATCCATAAAAAATGTGTCAATACATTTTGCCAGTGTTTCAGTAGTTAAAAGGCTTGTTTGAACCTGGTTGGGAGGGATGCCTGTTGCCTGAGAGAGGGCAGCGCACAAGTCAATCACCCGGCCAGCTTTAGGGACAATCAGACGATACTGCAGAGGGAAGACAGACACGTTCTTCAGTCATCAGGATGAACAAAACTCACAATAAAGCAGTGGTTTTACTGAAACCTTACTAAATGCTGTTCAACAGAACTGTCAGACTACTTTGCCTTAAGCAAAACCGGTTCTGATGACATCATCTCACACCACCAGCTGTCTTCCTGTTTACAAACCTGCAGTGCTACATCATTCACATCTGCCAAACTCATAGCATGGGCTCACTCATAATGAACAAGTCTGCCGTGCTGCACATATGCTGCTTTTCCTGCCAAAAATGACTGAGGATTTTGGTATTTTGCGTTTTTTTTTCAGTATATAACATTATACAAACCTGGGTGGGTTTGGCCGTGGGATCCAGTGACACATAGAAGACCTCCATGACCCTCTCCTTACTAACAGGTAAGGGCACGCTCAAATAGCAGAAGGGGTCGAAGGTCACAGAGACCTTGTTGCACTCGGGACACACCAGAGTGGACTTAAACAACCCGTGGAATGTGTCGACGATGACCGAATCGTTCCGCCGCAAATGGTTGTGCCATGCTTCCTCAGCCACTTCCTGTAAGGCATAAATAGAAATGAGATTCTCATAGTAACACTTTGTTTTGTTGTAGAGATATCAATATGGTTATGTTTAGAGGTTGAACAATAGCGTATTTTACAGAGACTAAGCAGGAAAAACTGGGTAATAACAAATTAATCGCCAGATATTTTTTTAAATCTATATGAATGAAAACTTTCAACCGTATAAAATAGAATTTTATTTTTTTTATTTATTCATTTACACACTTTGTTTATAAACAAGAGTGAGAACAGCATTCGATAAATGAACTATTAATAAAGTGCTTTGTGTCACTCATATATCTCATGGGGTGCACATTACACGAGTTATTCTTTGTGAACTATAGTGTGTGTGTGTGTGTGTGTGTGTGTGTTTGTGTGTGAAAAGCACCTGGTCAGGTCTGCCATCAGCATCCCTGAGTTCAATATACTCCTTCTTTTTGACCCGGTTTAGGTCTTCATGTAGACCGTCCAACAGGAAAGACAGCAGCTCCTGAGAGTCGTGTTGCTGGTAGCCCAGAAACTGTGACGCAAAGTGGCCGACCTTAGTCTGCAAAGACACACACACACAATGCTGCTTAATTTTTTGCACTACTAATGGAGCAAAACTAAAAACAAACAAACAGAATTTTAGTCCTGAGAGTCGTGTTGCTGGTAGCCCAGAAACTGTGACGCAAAGTGGCCGACCTTAGTCTGCAAAGACACACACACACACAATGCTGCTTAATTTTTTGCACTACTAATAGAGCAAAACTAAAAACAAACAAACAGAATTTTAGCGTTTAAAGCCAACAAATGATTTAAATTGATCATAAGTGAGAGTAAAGGCATTTAAAATGTTAAAAAAAGATTTCTGTTTCAAATAAAAGCTGTTCTTTTGAACTTTCTATTCATCATAGAATCCTGAATAAAATATATCATCACAAAAACATTGAGCAACACAACTGTTTTGAACATTGATGATAATAATCAGAAATGTTTCTTGAGCAGCAAATCAGCATATCTTCATGATTTCTGAAGGATCATGTGACACTGAAGACAGCTAAATCGCTGCTAAATTCAGCTTTGTATCACAGAAAATATTTTAAAATATATTCAAATAGAAACGTTATTTTAAATTGTAATAATATTTCACAATATTACTGTATTAAATAAAAACTAGATCGAATAAATGCAGCCTTGGTGAGCAGAAGAGACTCGTAGTACTCGTACTCATAGTTGTTTTTGCATATTAAGCTTTTTTTATTAAACCTTTATTGATAGGAAGGCAGAGAGGCAATCATACGAAGAAGAGGGAAACGGTATAGTAAATAGAATGGGAACCAGATTTAAAATGAACCAACTGATTTGAGATCTGCTAGTGTGCGTGAACAAGTTTGAGTGATCACTACAATTAGGTTACCTTAAATACCCGAGGAACCACAGAATAGTGCCTGCCTGACCACATCTGTTTGATGACGTCTGCGTAAGCTTCTGCAATTTCACCCTTCATGCCCAGAGGGTTGGTGAAGTTCAGCTCCTCCAGATATGAGTTCTTCAGAAAGTACTCAGTCAGTGGTGGCGTGTTACTTAGACACTGCGGGGGGGAAATGCACTTTAAGAAATGCCTTTTATAAAAGTTATGTGACTGAGTGTTCAGTGTTCATGACCTCTGACCTGTAAAGCTGAGTTCATGAAGCAGGTGTTGCCTAGGTTTGTGAGGCCACACACTCCAGGAGGCCCTTGATACGAGTCCTCATCAGCAGAGTTCCGCCTGGAGACACACATTTCCATATTCCAAATATTAAATAAAATCAGAGTTGTTTTAAAGTTTTAAAGTCCAGTGAGCTAAACACCTAAACACCTAAACAGCATTTCTGGATGAGATAAATGCATTTAAATGTTTGATTTGGACAAACTTTCAAACATATTTACAGTGGCCAAAAATGCTGGCTAGGTAGGTAGCTTGCTATGTTTTAATTCTTTTTGAGAATTATAACTTAAGTAAAATGTTTTGCAGCACAACCAGTTATAATTAGTTTTTATACAACAATTTTCTACTCTCTCTTTGACAGTTAGAATAAAATTATCATTAAGAATTCAATGTTAAGGCCATCTGTTATACTTTTCAGCTACAAACCACACAATCCATGACTATAAACTTTATTATATTAATGTCACCTATACTATCACCCAAAGTTGTATATAGTACAACCCACTTTACCTGCCTACATTTAGTACACTCACATAAAGCAGTATATACACTTTATAGCAACATTTGCTGTTATTGTTTATGTTGCCACAGAAAAATTGAATTGCACAGCTCCAAATATAATGTTGGATATATATTTGCTATATAGCAAATCACAACTGCTTGTTTGCTTGTCTTGTCACAAAATGTAAACTACATTATCACCCAGCTCAAATGCAAATACAAGGCATGAAGATATTAATATAATACATTAACATCATGATTTTCTGTAACGCTGCTTTGAAACAATGTGTATTATGAAAAGCACTATAAGACCAATAAATGGTCTTTTTGGTCTGGGAAGGAACTCTTGAGTTGAAACTGTCAAAGTACATTGAGCTCTTTAATTCCAAAAAATCATAGAAAATTTGATTCCTCATGATATGATCCCTTAAAACTCGCCCATTTATTTTTTAACTGATATGCACAGGCCAAAATCTTCTTTTTAACCTACTATAATGGTTTATTAGACTCTGGCATTCAAGGTATAAAGGACGATCTTCACCCTTTAACAAAAGCATGTGGGTTTTCTGGAGTGACTTATTCGGCAGCGGGTGTAAATAATATGGTCCCAGTTATTTTCAAAATGAACAATGTTTTCTACCAACCACAGGATTGATTTCAAAGTTTATTTGTGCTACACTGATCTCATTGCCTTGCCATTTCTTGAGGATATAAGCATTTAACCTACTACAACTAGCTACAGATGTAAATGAATGTGGATGATGATACATATGTGAACGTTTTGTGCTTTAGACACACGTCTTTCCATTTTCCTAAACAAAAAGAGAAAGGAAATTTGCACTAGTGCACGAGAGAAGGAAGCTGGTGTCTTTATACTCACATAATCTGAGGCCTGGATGTGGGCCACGTACCATCCGCATTCCTGATCTCCATAATCACCGTCTGCAGAGTGAGCAGAGCATGTTAGGACACAACACACACACAAACACATGCAGGGTGGCCCATGTCGGAACTCTTGAGTTGAAACTGTCAAAGTACATTGAGCTCTTTAATTCCAAAAAATCATAGAAAATTTGATTCCTCATGATATGATCCCTTAAAACTCGCCCATTTATTTTTTAACTGATATGCACAGGCCAAAATCTTCTTTTTAACCTACTATAATGGTTTATTAGACTCTGGCATTCAAGGTATAAAGGACGATCTTCACCCTTTAACAAAAGCATGTGGGTTTTCTGGAGTGACTTATTCGGCAGCGGGTGTAAATAATATGGTCCCAGTTATTTTCAAAATGAACAATGTTTTCTACCAACCACAGGATTGATTTCAAAGTTTATTTGTGCTACACTGATCTCATTGCCTTGCCATTTCTTGAGGATATAAGCATTTAACCTACTACAACTAGCTACAGATGTAAATGAATGTGGATGATGATACATATGTGGACGTTTTGTGCTTTAGACACACGTCTTTCCATTTTCCTAAACAAAAAGAGAAAGGAAATTTGCACTAGTGCACGAGAGAAGGAAGCTGGTGTCTTTATACTCACATGATCTGAGGCCTGGATGTGGGCCACGTACCATCCGCATTCCTGATCTCCATAATCACCGTCTGCAGAGTGAGCAGAGCATGTTAGGACACAACACACACACAAACACATGCAGGGTGGCCCATGTCAGGGCATTCATTTACTAGTAGCAAGGTTTGTCTATATGACCAACACACAAGGCGAGGTTGCTGGCAGTGATTATTACCGTAAATATCACCAAATTGTTACATAACAGAATAGATGACCAGAGTGTAAATGGTAGGTGTGTATTTTACCATGCCAGAGCTGAGGCAGGTGTCTAGGACAGTCATGTTAAGGTTGCGTAGCCTCTCTGAGCTCGTATCCGTGCTCCGCATCCACAGTCGGCTCTCAGCAGTCTCTGATACATTAAAATGCTGCCGTATCTTTTGATGTATAGCGTCTATCAAACACAGATACACACATTAGAGATTTACACACATGCACGCACTCCGAGATCTGCAGCTCAGATACACCAGGCTGACAATATCCTGAGGGGTTTCACACATCAGTTTACAAAACATAATTGCATGCCAAATATAAAATAGACTTGCGAGACTAACATTCTGTAAATTAATTGGCAATCCAGAGCTTGAGCTAAACCTTTGATGCGCCGAAGAAGACATTTCGTTTATTTTAATTAAAGTATTGATTAAGACATTTTGTATGCCAGTTAACAGGCATAATTCAATGCCTATAGCTACGAGTTACTATGAGCAGAAATAGTAATGTATTGATGTAACTGTCATCTAACTTAAAATACATAATCTTAATAACATACACTACTGTTCATGAGTTTGAAGTCGGTATGATTTTTCTTTTCTTTTTTTTCTTTTTAAATTAATATTTTATTCAGCAAGTATGCATTAAATTGATAAAGACATTTATAATGTTATAAAAAAAATCTTTCCAAGAATCTATTTAATCAAAGAACCCTGAAAAAAATATAAATGTAAGTTTCCACAAAACATATTAAGCACCATAATTGTTTTCAACATTGATAATAATTAGAAATGTTTCTTGAGCTGCAAATCAGCATATTAGAATTATTTCTGAAGGATCATGTGACAATGAAGACTGAAATAATGATGCTAAAAATTCAGCTTTGCATCTTAAGAATAAATTACATTTTAAAATATATTCAAATAGAAAACAGTTATTTTATATTGTAATAATATTTCACAATTTTACTGTATTTTTTAATCAAATAAATGGAGCCTTGGTAAGCATAAAAAAAACTTTACTTTGCATCACATGAATAAATTACATTTTAAATTACATTCAAATAGAAAATGGTTACCGACCCCAAACTATTGAACAGTAGTGTATGAACGTCATTGAATAAAAATATCAAACCATGAAGAGTTTATTTAAGATCCTAGCACTAACACACTTTACAAGCAAAACATTTCACTAAAACTGTTTATGTTTAAAACATGCCAGATTTGTGCCATTCATTTGCATACAAATGCAAAAGAAAACAAGCACGTGCAAAGAAGTTCCTTCGTTTTCAAGTTTACGTTTAGTAAATTCTGTGCATTTCTATAGCGAAAAAAACATATAAATCAATAGAGGATCTAAACATCACAAATTGAGCTTAGTACAAAGAAAGCAATCTTCAAAGTTGGAAAGTGGGCTGAATTTATTATTATTTGTTATTTCGGATGCATTACTTATTGAAAACAGAACCCTAGCCCAGATATTCATTGCGGTGATTTTACATGCAGAAAGCAAAGCGAGAATGTATCTTTAATCAGACATTTTTATGTGTCCAAATATTTTTTCTATTCATTAACAGCCTTTACTCACGTATCTTGTCTGCTCGACTGAAGCGTGCAGAAACAGTGCTCTCCAGGTTGCTAGAAAGACAGAGGTAGACCTCCACAGGATAGACCTCTACTTTAACAGTGCTGGGAAGATCAACAACCTGGAGAGAGAAAGAAGATGGTTTTCACATCATCCTCAATTAATGGCAAACACTGCCTATCTTGAACTCAACATCTCATTTGATTTCATAGAAAGAAAAGTCAGAAGTCTTGTTAACACTACCTTTCTCTCCAAAGGAGGCTGATCGTCCATCATGTCATACCACGACAAGAGTTTATGCCAGGCTTCTGCTGGGACCAGGATAAAGTCCTCATTCTCTGTCAGCCTCTCTTTAAGATGGTAGGAATCCAGATCTACAGTAAGCATACAAAATATTTAAAACGTCTTCTGTTTCCACAGTTATTAAAGGAAAAGTTTGCCCAAAAATGAAAAATTGCTGAAAATGTACTCACCCACAGGCCTTTCAAGATGTAGGCGAGTTTATTTCTTCATCGGAATAGAGTTGGAGAAATGTAGCATTACATCACTTGCTCACCAATGGATCCTCTGCCGTGAATGGGTGCCGTCAGAATGAGAGTCCAAACAGCTGATAAAAACATCACAATAATCCACAACTCCATTGCATCAATAAACGTCTGTAAGAAACAAATTCATCATTAAGGAGTTTTTAACTTTAAACTGTTGCTTCCAGATAAAATACGAGTCCTCTATCCTATAACTTTGCTTTCTACAGTGTACTTTTTCCACTGGAGGAAGCATTACTATGGATTATGGACTCGCGTTCTGGTAAGAAGACGCCTTAATGATGGATTTGTTTCTTACAAACATGCATCTTTTCACTATACACAACATTAACTGATGGACTGGAGTGGTGTGGATTACTTGTGGATTATTGTGATGTTTTTATCAGCTGTTTGGACGCTCATTCTGACGGCACCCATTCACAGCAGAGGATCCATTTGTGAGCAAGCGTTGTAATATTACATTTCTCCAAATCTGTTCCGTTGAAGAAACAAACTTAATCTTGGAAGGCCTGGGGGCGAGTAATCGTTCAGCAATTATTAATTATGGAGTCAACTATACCTTTAAAGGAACAGATTTACAGAGAATGAGAAATTAAAGTTTTATGGTGCTAATATGGGATCTTGTGGGTAACATCACAGAATAGCAGCACTTACCTTCATAGAGCTCAGTGTTATCAATTTTCCCGGGATAGGAGGAAGAATTTTGGTCCCCGGTGTGCACATACTCTTTCCACTGATCATACCACCTCTTGTCCAACAAATACCTGCAATACAGATACATGCACCAGTCACATTCAACACTGCTTGGTTGTGTAAGTCCAACATCATTCAATGAGCTTCAGGACTAATCTGTTTAATGGAAACTGCACAGTGTCAGACATGAAGACACCAAACGCTTGTCATTTGCCTTTAACGACGAGAAGGAATTACAGCAGATCTGCCTTTCCTGTTCAAGGAACGAGAACAAACCGAAAGTAACTTTCCCATTACAGACTGACACACCTTCTAGAGATAGAAGTGAAACTTAAAGCAAGTGCAGTAATCATTTAGACACCATAAAAGCAGGTCATGTGAGCATTTGCTTAATGAAAATGAAAATAAATGAAAGAGTTTAACGCGGGTAGAGTTGACGACGTTGGAATCTGGGTACGCCAAGCAACCTGTCAAACCTTAATGATGCTAAGGAAGCTGTTAAGCAGGAAACCCGATCTATTAGGCCTGAAAACTGACCTGGATGTTAGTTTCCCTCTTTTATTTAATGTCTGAACCATTTAACTCTCTATCACATTGGCATGGTTGTTTCTAACCCTGAAGAACCTAAAAGACCCTCAAAACGCACAAACTCGAGCGCGTTATCAGTTTCATCAGCGCACTGTTAGTGCTCTATCTGTATTGTAGTTGTTGTTGTTTATTGAATGTTTGTTTGTTTGTTATTTAGGCTGAAGTTTCTCTCACCAGCTGTCTCCGGCCCGGAGCTGCTGCTGGTTCAGGTTGTCGATCTCCCGCCACTGGGTCTCCAGTCCCGGAGGCTCCGTAGCCGAACCGGTGCTGCTGTTCGCAGCCATAATCACTCATAAAATCCGAAAAGCGCCGTTAAAGCCGCATAGACACACCGGAATGTTTTGACGCAGGAAGTAGGAAGCGGTTAGAATGACAACTTCCGCCCTGCGAGAGAGGGGCGGGACTCCAGGGCGTGGCGTACGGCGAGAGGGCGTGTGTGATGGAAGAGAATTGGTTTCTAAGGTCAGATGTGCAAACTATATCCGAGAAGATATGACCAATGCGATACATATCTTCCCACTTTAATACAATTTATCATTAACTTATGTTTTCATTTTATTTTTTTTAATTCTGCATTTTGTAGTAATAATTACATTTATAGGATTATATTATCTATTTATTTATACGATTATATTATCATACGATTACATATACTACTATATATATAAATGCTAATTTATGCATTAATTATTATTCCAATAATTAATTTATTAACTACTATTGCTGAAAAATGTCTCAATAATCAGGTTAAACTCTTTATTATTATTATTATTATATCACGATCTAATTACAATATTCCACACTGAAGCCTTTAGAAATGGAAAGTATTTTCAGTGCAAAATGTTATGTACTATACATGCATTCAGCTGATAAATGTAATGTTACATTTTTTGCGATGATATTTATTTAGAATATATACATTTTCGCATTTAATTATTATTTAATTTATCAATTTAACTATTAACTATTATAGGCTAGCTAAAAAATGTCCCCATAAATCAGCTAAAACTTATTATTAGTATCATTATATATACTATGCAATATTCCACACTGAAGCCTTTAGAAATGGAAAGTATTTTCAGTGCAAAATGTTATGTACTATACATGCATTCAGCTGATAAATGTAATGTTACATTTTTTGCGATGATATTTATTTAGAATATATACATTTTCGCATTTAATTATTATTTAATTTATCAATTTAACTATTAACTATTATAGGCTAGCTGAAAAATGTCCCCATAAATCAGCTAAAACTTATTATTAGTATCATTATATATACTATGTGTATATACACACACACACACACACACACACACACACACACACACACACACACACACATAGCATTCAAAAGACCTCATTCCCTCATTCTTGTTATCAGAGTTTTGGCTGTAGGACTATGCATATGGCACAAGGTGGCAGTGTTTGTCAAAAATACACAGACAACATTGACTCTACAATACGTCAGTTACCCAGAAATTGAAAAGGACCTTTTGACTAATCTAACATTTTGGTTGTCAGTGTGGGCACCTGCAACTGTTCAAATTTGCTATGAGACCTAAGAGATTTTTTAAATGTTCTTCGTCAAAAACAATACTAAAACAATGCAAACATTAGATATAAACCCATATAAGCAATAAGCTCATGTTCTAGAGGCTGCAGTGCTTGGAATTTGGTTCTTTTCTTCCTGAAGATGATGATGACTCTAAAATAATAAATAAAATTGATGACTAGACAAGTACTATTATTACATGTTATTACATGAGCACTGTTACCCGGCCGAATC